TCCATCTCGACCGTTTACTGTTGTGCTGTACCACAAAAGGGACCCAGACAGACACTTGAGTTTGACATCATGGCTTCACAGCTCTTCTCTGATTGGCCGGTGCGTGGTCTATAACTTCTGGGGTTCTTGCAAACCGTCTAGTGTATTCCGTTTCCTGATCTAGTTACTAGAGGGAAATGAAATTGAGCAGAGGCACTAGGTGGCGCCAGCCTGGCTATACATGTTCTTCCATCAACCCAAAACATGCACAGTAGGTAGTAGTAGATGTGGGTCCTTGCTCACTGCAGAGAGATGACCCAGGGACATTTAAGGATGGGTCAAAATGAACACCACAAATTTCCTCACAGGGACAATAACATGTACGCTGACCTTAACCTATGGAGATACTAAATACTTAAAGATCCTGTATTACATGAAATTGACTGTAGCGAGCTTTTAGTCATATTAGAATGTTATTACTTCATCAAAAACATACCTAGAGTTGTTTTGTTTCATTCACATATGATTGAGAAATTATATTAAATTTATTATTTCTCTCAAAAGCTCAAAATGCTCTGTTGCACCTTGTGATGTCATGAAGCAGTTCAGTAGAGATTGGCAATTCCAGAGCTGAAAATATTGAAATTATTCTAGTGAAGGTGTATAAAGTTTCATTACATCCTTTTCAGAATTTTGAATACAAAAAAATAGTTTCCAACATTTTTTTTTATATTGAAGGGTTGCTGGTTTAACTCTTTAACTCTTGACTTCCAACTTTAAATGAACTGTCTGAAATTAATTGTGTGTATAGTGAGTGTATAATGAGTGTGTTTTATCTTTAGTGAGTGTGCTGGTTTTATGTTCTTTTGTGTGATTGTTGCTGTACTTTTACCTGTCCTGTTGATGAAGATGGAAATTAGCAACTCTGACTATAATCTTTACATATTTACATATTATTTTAAATGTTCATTAGTATGTGCTGCCCCTTTACAAATAAAGAAATAAGAAGAAAAGGTATGCCATGTCTGTTGGATTTTACTTAAAGTATGTAAAGTATGTGACTTTTTAACCACAAAATCAGACTACTGTAATAGGGAATGTTCCTTTGTCTGTTCTTCCACAATTCTCGATGGAGAATGCTGTGAAGTATGACGTTAACTTTGTGTTTAATGTCACCTCCAGAAAGTTCAACACCTTTAGCATTTCAGTTGTGTTAGAGATGCACGGATCCATCTTTTTCAGCTCCGATACAGATTATAATACTATGGCTTTAAGTATCTAGCCCAGGGGTCGGCAACCCAAAATGTTCAAAGAGCCATATTGGCCCAAAAAAACAAAAAACATACCTGCCTGGAGCCGCAAAAAATTAAAAGCCTTATATAAGCCCAATATGAAGACAACATAGGCTGTCAGTGTATTAGCTATATAAACCTACTATTAAAATGACTAAGTAGGCTACAAATACAAAATGAGCATTCATGATTACACAAACCCCTTTTGCGACCCTCTCATACTCGGTGCGCCGTCTGTAGACCGACGTTTACATGTTGCTTTGACGACGATGATGGAAGTATTCAGAGCAGCAGTCGCATTTCTTCTGATCGTGCATAGGAGCATTCATAAAACAGCAGCATGTAGAACTTTCTACGCAACATCAGCCCAGAGCAGAAGCTCTGAGCTCGGGCAGCAGCGCAAAATACACGGGAGCAGTCAGCGCGCAGCTCCTCAAGACGAGGCTGGGGGTCCAGTGTTGGTCAGATTGTCTGGAGGTTTCGTCCTCCGTGTCCTGGTTCCAGACGGGGGCGAGCAAGACCAGCGTGCAAAGGACTGGGTCCGAGCGGTTCCGCGTCGTCCTCTGTGCGCTGGTTCTGTGCGGGAAAAGCGAGAATGCGCTGTGGACCACAGGTCCGGGCGGGCTGCTCCGGTCCTCCACGCTCGACCGCGGCCTGGTTCCGAGGTGGTGCAAAGCATCCGGACAGAAGCATGAATCCAGTTTGGTTCATTATATGTTGTTCTGAGCGTCCGTCTGCGCACGTGTTTTTTTTTTTTTTTTTTCGGGGAAAACGCTTCTCAGGTGGAGGCACCGGACACCACCCCCGCTTCAGCTCATCTGTTTGTTCTGCTGAAACACATTTCCTATGTTTGCGTTTGCACACACAGCTGATGGATCAGATCCATGACCAGAGATGAACGAGGGTTTTACCCCTAAAGAAACCATATTAAAACAACAACAAAAAAATCATTCCTTTTCCATTTTCACTCATTTTTGAAAAAGCTCCAGGGAGCCACTAGGGGAGTGCTAAAGAGCCGCATGCGGCTCCGGAGCCGACTTAATTTAATTAATTTCTCTGTTATTTTCTTAATTTCTCTCCAGTGACTAGGTCAGGAATCAGAATACACTAGACAGTTTGCAAGAACCCCGGAAGTTGTAGACCGCGCAACGGCCAATCAGTGAAGAGCTGAACCAACCCGAGTTGCGATAGCAGACTGCATACACTATCCTCCTTTGGACCTTTGTCAGATACAAACTTTGCTGTTGTGCCAGCAATTACTTGGACACCACTGAGCGTTCCGGCGCATTACATACATCACGACCAAATTACAACAATTGGTTAGATTAAAAAAACAAGCGAACGAATCCTAATGCTGCGAGGTCAGACGGTTTCCATGAAGTGAAATCTGCTGATGAATCAGGCTATAAAGTATCTGCCAATACTCGATATCAACCGATACCACTGCAGAGACTGAAAAAACTGCATTTCCTTTAAACTAAAATAAAATAAGACAAAACTGACCCAAATGTGTTACTGAGCTGTTATTTAAACCACAAGTAACTACAGAACACCTTTGAGTACATAAAACTTAAAACACTATGAGACTTTCTTGGCCAAATACAAAAAGTAAATAGTCATATTACATCAAAATATATCGCCAACCGAACAGAGCGGGAACAAATATTAATTCACACATTTTAAGGAGCTATTTCATATTTGCATTTCTCTCGTTTAATCTTCTTTCATCTAAGCACGGTAAATCCAGAAAGGAAGTCAAACACGGAACATGAATTCATTATGTGTACGGTAAACAATCATTATTCTTAACGTACACAACATAGTGAAGTATCTTGTAGTTTATAAAATCGGATTACGTACACCATAAGCTTTCTGGAGGAGTACACCCAGCGTGGTCACTTGTCTTCACTAACGCCGTGACTGCGCCATCCCAATTACCATATGTTGTACACTGGTCACACGCACCACTCTGCATCTGATTAAAATTCATCCTGCTGCTGATTTGCATGTCTTATTGACTTATTCTGCTTGGCTGCGCTCGTGTACGTCCCTAAAGGTTTGTGTCAGGGGCTAATCAGCTCGCAGCGCCTATAGCCCAAAGCAGTGGATCGCCAACTTTCACACCAAACACTACGGCAATCTGCCTTTAGATACAAATATAATTGCGTGATGAAAATAGTTTGGAGAAATGAAGCTGTGAAATTGTTAAAATTGGATTAACAGAAATATGAAGTGTAAAGTAGTGAAGGGAAAGCAAGAAAGAAACCAAGACTGGACAAAGATTGAACTCAAACAAATTGAGATAAAGTGTTACATAACAAAGGATTTAAACAAGATTATTAAAGGTGCACTGTGTATTTTCTTGTAAAGGGTCTGCCACATGTCGTCTTGGGCCCTGTCCACACTAGTACATATTCAGGTCATTTTCGTTGTGGATGCAGTGTTCGTCCACACTAATCCGACTCCAGAGACTGAATGATCTGGTGCCGCCAGCTCCCACGAATTCATCTGAGTACAGATCTGATCCAGCACCGTGTGGACGCCTGAAAACGCTGATACGCTGATGTACTTCTATGCGCCACAAAGTAATTCACCGCCAAAACGCTAAGAGGCTAGAATATATACGGCCTTTGTGTACGACCTGCAGATGTATAATCTCTGAAAAGTTCAACATGAACCATCTCCAACACGATAGAAGCACAGAACAGAATCACCATCAGCAGATCACCCCTCTGTCACAGAAAAAGCACATATAATCCACTGAGTCGTGTCCTTTAGTCCAACAGAAGCTGAAGCGCATCAGTGCACAAGGAGCTGTTTTTTTTAAGCACTCAGTTTATGCAAATTAGTCATGCGGTTTTAAGTTTCATTTCTGTAAAACGTAAACACAGGGTGACCAAACGTCCGTTTTTCCCCGGACGTGTCCGTTTTTCACGTCCTGTCCTGGCTGTTCGTTTTTTTTTTTTTTTTTTTAATAAAGTGATACAAATGTCCGGGTTTTCATTACCTTTCATTGGGCCATTAAACAACAACAACAACAGTCAACAGTCTGCAACGTGCCGAAGCGCAAATGTGCATTTCAACCATGACTTGTACAAGACAATCCCCACTTTCTATCCCGTTCGAGACAAATGGGAGGTCATGTGCACAGCGTACAAAGCAGTGCATATGTTTCGGTATGTTTCGTATATGCCAGGGACCTCAAAGCTCACCAGGACACCGAAAAACATTAAAAAGCTTTGCCAGGTGAGAGTAACTCAGTGTCGACGATGAGGCCCCACCTCCCACCCCCCGTACAGTGTCCTGATTTTGACAAACGCAAATATAGTCACCCTACGTAAATAAATATGCGCATAGCTGTGTGAATAGGGAAGGCTTGCGGACACAGAAATGACGTGTCCGGAAGCAGACTGTTATTTCTTCTTGCATTCTGCACTAAAATGGAGCAAAAGATCATGGTCTATGTAGTTCCCTCTGTCTTTTTTTAGCTATCGCTGCACCAAAACTCTTAATTTAAGCGAAGAGACTTGTAATTTGATTTATTGTGATGGTCCACGATATTATTGTGAGAACTTTGACGATACGATATCACGGTATTTAAGTTATTGTTACATCCCTAGTAAATATAGTTGTCTACTCATTTATATTGTGTGCATTGCTGGGATCAAAATGCAAAGTACTCACATACACTTTACTATTTAATGTTCCATCATGAGTGTGTGGGCTGACCTGGTGATGAGGCTGCAGTCGTGGATGACGCTCTCCTCCACGCTCACGCCCCTCTCCTCGTGGGTGCTCACCGGGTGCCCGTTGTGGCTCCAGCGCAGCTCCATGTGTGGGTGCAAGTAGGACACGGTGCACTGGAGGGGCAGCCGGTCCCCCTGGAACACCAGCTGTCTCTGGGAGGGGATGAGCTGGAAGAGGGGCAGCTCCAGGGCGCCATCTACGGGACAGGAAGAGAAAGAAACAAATGTAATGTTGATAATTGTAAAGATGTTCAACAAAAGACTTGATATATTGTAGGCGTATGGTGATTACTAGGGATGTAACGATATCCAAATCTCTCTGTACAGTATTTTCATGATCTCCATCTCACAGTATGATATTTATTGTGATATTTTGTGGAGGTTAACAAAGTTGTTAATATGCTACTTTTTCCTCTCAAAATGCCAAAGAACCAAGATTTAAAATTGCTTAAGAAGTTATTTCTTTGTGTAGTCTGCACTGAAATGGAGCAAAGGATCATGGTCTATGTAGTCCCCTCTGTTTTTTTAGCTATTGCTGCACCATAACAATGAATTTAAGCAGATAAACGTGTAATTTGATATATTGTGAGACTTTAGATGAAACAATATCACGGTATTTTGGTTATTATTACATCCCTAGTGGTTACACTTGTAAAAGATACATGAATATATTACGCAAGTCACACAACATGTAAAAACTGAAAACAACATGAATGTGTGAATTAGAAAATGTAGTATAAAGACTCACTCTTAAAACCGCCACACACTACAGGATTTTTCAGTCTTAAACAATTTTTAAATGTGCGACAAACAGTGCACACTACAGACACGAGGAGAATTTTATGAGACTTAAAATCTCCGATCGCAAAGACGGCAGTGTTCAAAGATCGTAGTTCTGATTCTAGTTTAGATACAAGTTAAAACTGTGTTATTATTATTTATGAAATGTGGTGCAATACTTCAGATACGTGATTTTTAGCACACAGAAGGTTGGTGATAAAGTTCACAGGAAGTAGAGTCACTATTGCTAATCTGCAGCTTCACCTCGATCCGTGCGCTGTGTGTGGATGTAAACAGACACATGTGAGGAACTACTCTCACCTTTTTACTTTTCAAGAACAACTCAAACTGGATCAGGATGAGGACAAATTTTGTGGATAATATGGATGAGATGCTGCACTTTAAATGTACCACTTTACGAGAGGTGAGTAATAAAATCTTCTCATTATTTTTGGTATTTCCTGAGTTTGTATCTTGCATCTCTGTGTCCATCACTACATCTGCCCCTGATGCTCGGTTTTATTGGCTGTTACCGTGGTTTGGTGGTTACGATCTGACAGAGCCGCTCAGAGTGACACTGAAACCACATACACGAGGACCGCAGTGGCGTAAAAATCGCAAACGAGGTCACAAAGTTCTGATAAATCGGGTCAGGACATTAGTCTGACAGCCCAATAGTCCAGGACTAAACATGTCATTAGCGAATAATAATATGTTCATTATAAATATGTTCATATCACAACTGCAGAGCTGATCACCAGGACTAAACCAGGACTAAACCAGGACTAAACCAGGACTAAACCAGGACTACACCAGGACTACACCAGGACAACACCAGGACTACACCAGGACTACACCAGGACTACACCAGGACAACACCAGGACTACACCAGGACTAAACCAGGACAACACCAGGACTAAACCAGGACTACACCAGGACTACACCAGGACTACACCAGGACTACACCAGGACTACACCAGGACTACACCAGGACTAAACCAGGACTACACCAGGACTAAACCAGGACACCAGGACAACACCAGGACTAAACCAGGACTACACCAGGACTACACCAGGACTACACCAGGACTACACCAGGACTACACCAGGACAACACCAGGACTAAACCAGGACTACCAGGACTACACCAGGACTACACCAGGACTAACCAGGACTACACCAGGACTAAACCAGGTATAAAACCAGGACACCAGGACTACACCAGGACTACATCAGGACTACATCAGGACTACACCAGGACTACATCAGGACTACATCAGGACTAAACCAGGTATAAACCAGGACTACACCAGGACTAAACCAGGACAACACCAGGACTACACCAGGACTTAACCAGGACTAAACCAGGACTACACCAGGACTACACCAGGACTAAACCAGGACTACACCAGGACTAAACCAGGACTAAACCAGGACAACACCAGGACTACACCAGGACTAAACCAGGACAACACCAGGACTACACCAGGACTAAACCAGGTCTAAACCATACACATATACACGCCGCAACCACCGAGCCGATCACCAGGACTACACCAGGACTGGGCCAGGTCTAAACCAAGACTAAACCAGGACTGATCCAGGAGCGCATCCTCCGAGCCCATCACCTCCACTGATGCTTTTATGTATTAAATCCACTAAAGTCTCTCTCAGTCTGGTCCATCGTTCAGGGAAAAGACCAAGAAATGGCACTTGTTTCCAAGGCAACAGAGTATTTTTCGCCCGTTCGTCGTTCATTTGATTCACCTGACCCGCCCGTGTGTAATCACTACCCGTCCATAAAATTCCACAACGTTAAAACCCGGCTGTTTCAGCAACTATTTGCCGGTACTCGACCTGGTCCAGGACTCTGCGTCACACTCCATTAGTCCACTTCTTTATACAGTCTGTGGTCTGGATTCATAAAAAGACTGAATGCTTGAGAAAAAAAATAAAAAATTAGGTGCAAAACTGCGCAAAAAGTGTCCATGAGATCAGACCAGTAAGAGATTTCTAGACTCTTAACAAAATACAGACATGTTTTTTACAGGCTTGCAGTTTCATCTATGACTTTATGAAAAAAAGAGATAATTGGATTGAAGTTATAGCTTATTATTATATTTTTAATGAGAATTTTATGTTCAGGTTCTATGATTATAAGGGTGGAAACAACTCTATCTAACCTTCATTGACCTTAGACCACAGGTGTCAAACATGCGGCCCGGGGGCCAGATCCGGCCCTCCAAGACCGTTAATCTGGCCCTCGGCTGATTTTCTACTAAAATATTTAAATTATATTTTCTATTAAAATATTGTTAATTTTCTGCGGTGTTTATCACAGCAGCGTCTCCAGTGTCTCTGTACGTGGCCCCTCCCACCAGAGCAGCACAAATGAAGACTTGTCTCTTTCCAAACGCTCTTAAAGGACGATCGTTTTGACTGTTGACAATGACACCCTCATCAGAAAAATGTCAAAAATGAGAAAAGTGGAGCCGAGTGCAGAATTTTTCAAGAAAAATTTCTTATTCTTATTTACATACAAGTTCATGTTAAAACATTGTGTTGAAATTATATTTTTCTTAAAGTTTCAGGTTGTTCATAATATTATAATATTTTGTAAAAGAAAGAGTTTTGTAATAGATTTCTGTAATAGATTTGCATTTATTTAATATTATAAAATATTAATATTTGAACTTATTGTTATTTTTGGGGTTTATATGACATGAGTTTTCTGATCCGGCCCTTTTGGGATCAAAGTTGGTTGGATACGGCCCCCGGACCAAAATTAGTTTGACACCCCTGCCTTAGACTGTTTTAATTAACTACTTACACCGTGTAAGAGTGCAAAGGTGAATAATAATTTCATTTTAGGGTCTATTTTGAAAACATACGTCTGAGTTTTATTGGTAAATCTCTGTATCATGTGTTCCCTATATCCAGTTTTTATTGTTGCTTCCTGTAGCACGATGTAACGTTATAGATCCACCTCCAGTCCTCAAAGTGTCCCTGTAATCCACACAAATGCACCGCCAAGGTCACAGCCCCCTCCTCTCTCTCCTCTCACCTCTGTCGTTTCCTCTCCTCCTCCCTTTTTCTCTCTCTCTTCCATCCTCTCCCTATCTTCTCCCCTTAACCCTACTCCTCTCTCTTCTTTTCCTTTACGCTTTTTCATCCTCGTCTGATCTCCAAAACCTCCTTCCTCTCCTCTCTCGCTCCCTTTTCTCTCCTTCATCTCCTCTCCCTGTGCCCTCGTTTTTCCTTCTTCCCTACCGCCTATCGCTTCTCTTCCTTTCTCATCCGTCGCTCCACCTATCTCTCGCTCACTCTTTCACTCCTCTCTTCCTCACACTTCTCTCTCGTCTTCTTTCTCGCTCCTCCATCCCCTCTCCTCCCGCTCTCTCATCACTCTCCTCCTCCATCCTCTCAGCTTCTTTCTATCCTTCACTCCTTCTCTCCTTCCTGTCTCTCTTCCATCTCTTCCTTACTCATCCCGCTTTCTGCCTCGTTCTTACTCTCTCATCCCTCTCTCCTCTCCTCCACCCCCATCACCTTCCTCTCTCTTCCATCTCTTCCTTACTCATCCCGCTTTCTGCCTCGTTCTTACTCTCTCATCCCTCTCTCCTCTCCTCCACCCCTATCACCTTCCTCTCTCTTCCAATCTCTTTCTTACTCATCCCTCTCTCTACCTGTCTCTCTCACATCCCTCTCTCTCTCTCTGTCTGGCTCACCTTCTTTCTTCTCTTCTCTTCTCTCTCTGTCTTACCTTCTCTCTCTCCTCCATCCCTTCTGTCCTTCCTCATCCCTCTCTCCACCTCTCTCTCATATCCCTCTCTCTTCTCCCTCTCTGCTCTAACTGTTCCTCTTTTTCTCTCTCATCCTCCTTACCCTCCTCATCCCTCTCTGTCTCCTCTTCTCTCTCTCCTCCATCCCCTCTCTCCGTCCTACCTCTCTTCCATTGCTTCCTTACTCGCTCACTTTCTTCCCCTCCTCTCTCTCTCTGTCTCACCTTATCTCTCCTTCCTCTCTGCTCTATCTCTCTCTCATCCCTCCTTACCCCCCTCTTCTCTCTGTCTTACCTTCTCTCTCTCCTCCATCCCCTCTCTCCGTCCATCGCTTCCTTACTAATTTCTCTCTCCACCCCTCTCTCTTCTGCCTCCCGTCGCTCTCTGTGTCTTACCTTCTCTCTCTCCTCCCTTTTTGCTCCTTCTGCTCCCACTCGCATCCCTCCTTACCCCCTCCTGTCTCACCATCTCTCTCTCTTCTCTTAACCTCTCCTTAACCTCTCTATCTCTCTTACCTTCTCTCTTCTCTTTCTCTGCTCTATCTGCTCTCTCTCTCTCATCCCTCCTTACTCCCTCTCCTCTCTCTCTGTCTCACCTTCTCTCTCCCCTCCCTCTCTACTCTATCTGCTCCCTC